ACGCAGAAAACGCGAGTTTCCGATTATCTCAGTAATGGGCTATACTAATTGTGGTAAGCAAAGCTTGTGAAATTGTAGCACGAAAGAGCTTACAGTATCTAATTTTTTATTGGAAGCTCTAGCCAGAATCTCATTTCAGTGTGAATAGGCTTTGTATTTTAATCAGTTTTTAAATTGTGTAATGAATATGTGTCAATTAGAATATAGTTAGGAAAGTAAATTCTGCTTGGTTTAGTTAGATTTTTTTTTTTTTTTTTTTTCCATCTTGAAGACATGTTTTGGAGAAATGTCTAGCACCTATTGTGCCAAAAAGATTTTATATATAGTGCTGAAGACTGTCCTGTTAGTGTCCCTTTATATGAATCTCTATTACTTGATCAGAAGGGGTAGAGAAAAGTACATGGGTGTTTAGATCACTGTGAAGGCTTGAGGCATAGGAGGAGAATTCAGGAGAGTTGGCAGTTGATCTGAGAAATGCGCTTAAGAAGCACTGTAGCTTTTCATTGATTGATGTATAGTGTTCTGAGTTGCATTCATAAGAGAATCTAAATAAAGCTGAAGGTTTTTTCCTATCTTTTGTAGCTTACACAAGTGAATTCATACACAAGCATGAATAGACTTTGGACTAGACATTTTTTTCAGGTTACATTATCTTAAGAGCATTTCATTTTATTTTTCAATATATGTATGAAAAGAAGCTTACCTTGCAGTAATATTGTTATCAGTTGTATATTCAAAGATCTGTATCACACTGTATGTTTATGTCATACTTCCATACTTTCAAAACTAAGGAGTCAACAAAACAGATATATGTTAGAATTTTGTACACATCATTGAAATACTTTAACTAGGATATATATTGAGCACTTTAGTTTAATAACTAAGTTCTGTGAAATATTCATTGAGTTAAATAAATGTCTCTAATATGCTTATGAGGAAATGTCCCATAAAACCATAAATCTAATAAGATACATATTATTAGTACTTCTGTTTATTGTAGGATTTAACAAGTAAATATTGAACTGTTTTATTTGACAACAGGAGCACTGAGGAGTGCGTAAGTGTATGCTTCCTAATGCTGTCATGGCAGTGTTGTTCAGTTAGTCTTAGAGGGGAGAGATTTGGGTAGGTTGCTTTGCAGGTCAGTTCAGTCTCCGATCATCTTGTGATTTCACAGCATGGCTTCCAGATGTGACCTTAAATCCAATTCCCAGTTAGAAAAATTAAGACTGTTGTTGGACTTCCTAACGTCATATAGATAACTGATCATAGGCTAGATTTAAATTAGGGAAATAGATAGGAAAAGACATGTTACATCATACAACTCACCCGAGCCTTGCAGATTAAATTCTTACTTGAAACGAGCCCTGAAAATCTTGTCCTTTTTTTCTTTAATTAGGAAAAACTACCTTGATCAAAGCCTTGACTGGGGAAGCAGGACTTCAACCCAGAGATCAGCTGTTCGCCACTCTTGATATCACAGCCCATGCTGGCTATCTGCCCTCGCACATGGCAGTTATTTATGTTGACACCATTGGGTTTCTGACTGATCTTCCGCATAATCTGGTTGAGTCCTTTTCAGCTACATTAGAAGAAGTCGTTTACTCAGTAAGTAGTTGTCTATAAAAATTGAGAAATCAAATTAATTTCCTTTTAGATAATCCTCACCCCTTCAGAAAAGGGGAAGTTAATTGGCATGCTGTTCTTAGTGAAGTATCTGGTGGACTAGAGTGGTCTCCTAAAATAACGAGGTAAATATCTCACCATCAGCCAATTTTTTGATACTTGAAATTATGCAAAACATATAGATATGAAAAGATTTCAGAAAGGGTGTATTTGGAGTATATGTGTCCAATACATAAACCAGATAAATCAGATTTTGCTGATTAAATATCTGAAAAAAACTAAACAGTGCATCTGAGTAAGTTGGGGCTAGCTTTCTTGAAAGTGAAATAAAGCCTCTGGAATGATCCAGTTTTAACTTAGGGTTTCCTCTGGCACTAAAAGTGGGTGATTGTGATGTAATGCAGGCAGCATGTAATAAACATAAATGCACTTTGCCGATCATTTTCTCACTAAGTTAGTTTCCTGTGTTACAGCAAAGTGTAAAGCTGCATACATGCAGGCATTTAAACAAAAAGTGTGTATCACCAAAGGTAATGAAGTTCAGTGGTAGCTAGGTGGTGGAATGCTTCTGAGGATTAGACTTCACCATGGAACAGCAGGACTTTCAAAAGCTGGCTGCAACTATCCTGTTTGTGTCTTATTCTAAAGTGTTAAATGAAAGGCTACAAATTTACTTCTTACTCATTTTCTGAAGTTTGAAGCAGTGTCTTGAGCAAAGATAACATTTTGAATGCAAATACTGAATTTGGTTGCTTGGGTTTTATCATGGCAAATGTGATCGTATATGTACTTCAAATTGATAACTTTTGTATAGAATTTTAAAGTGAAGCAACAGTAATAATATCTTGGGAACTGAGGATCAGGTTAATTTCTGCATTTTGAATGTAAAAATAGAATTACAAATTACATCAGGTTTTTTCCCTCATTTTGAAACAGTTTTTCAGCCGTTACTCTTCTAAAACCTTCTTAGACTTCACTCTTTTCCAGTATTTTTGAAGCCTTGCTGTTACACAGCCTTGGCTTTGAAAAAATTGATCGGTTATTCTTTGAAATCTGAAGTCTGTAACTAGCTTGATTGACAGGGTTTGTTTCAGGGTTGTTGGAGGCAATTTGTACTCACTGTGAAGTGAAAGACTAAGCTGCTGCTAGAGATTTTCTTCCATCATGGTGCAAAAAACAGTATTGGTTTAATACTGGTTTAGTAGTTCATTTTACAGTGTTAACCTGCCAGTGTATTATCAATTGGGTAGGAAACTATCATACATGAATTAGCAATGCAGAAGTAATATAAAATCTCTACAACCTGGTAACCGGTGTGTTTCATGAAGTAACTGTCTTGTATATTGATGTTTGCTAGGATCTGATAATTCATGTGAGGGATATTACTCATCCTGAAACCATTCTCCAGAAAGCAACCGTTCTGTCAGTTCTGAAGAATCTTAATCTTCCCAGCCATTTATTGGACTCAATGGTAGAAGTTCATAACAAAGTGGATTTGATAGACAGGTAAGCAGGAGATGCTAAGTGTACTTCAACGTGTCCTGTGTTCTGGAAGCTTTTTAATTCTTAGTCTAGAAAAGAGCTCCCACACTTGTGAGTACATTCAATAGCGTTTCTCAATCTTTTACATATATAACTACTGTCTGAAAAAGGATAATCTCTTAGTTACAAAAGAAGTCACTGGAGTCATAGAAGTGGCCTCTGTAAGGAAGGTGCCAGTATAAAGTAACACAGTTAACTTGTCCATGCTTGGAATATTTACACAACCTGATCTTCATGAGCAAATGTGCTAGCAGTTGTCACCTTTCAGGTATAAACCCACTGAAGAAAATGCGTTAGCCATTTCTGCTCTACATGGACATGGTTTAGAAGAACTGAAAGAAGAAATAGAGAAAAAAATTTTGACAGCAACAGGGAAGAAGATTCTGACAGTTAGTGTCAACTTACAGGGACCTCAGCTAAGGTAAGTAATTTTGAACTGTAAGAAGAACTTGGAGAAATATGAAGCTCTTGGTCTTGCATGTCTTAAAATTTGCATACTGATTTTTATCTGCGTTAAGAATTACAGGGATAATTACCAAAGTTTTCTGACCTATTGGGAAAACATATCCCCCATTGGATACCCTGGAGTCTGCTTCTGAAAATGACCTTCACAGAGTATTAGTACAATAAAACACACTTCCTGAAAGACCGTTTCACTGGTCCTGGAACCAAATTTGTGACAAAAACGCAAATCTGAAAGATTTACAAAAACACTATACCCTATTTCCAAACAGCGAGTGGCAAATGAAGAGCTAAGTGAAGCACTTGATCTTTTAAAGTGTTAAATTACCTAGATTGGAACACGTTGACCTAAAACGAAGATCGCGTTTTATGCACTGTGCCATACCTTCAAGATGCTAATACATTTTTACTTTTACAGTTGGCTCTATAAAGAAGCAACAGTTCAGGAAGTGGAAGTCATGCCTGAAGATGGCACAGCCAGGGTGAAGGTGATAATCGGCAATTCTGCTTTTGGCAAATACAGAAACCTCTTTCCCAGCAGTACGATTTTTATGCCATGAAACTGCCTCCTTTTCTAGGGAAAGAAACTGATCTCATTAAGAGAATGTGAAGTAAAGTTAGTCTGGACACTGAAGAGTGTAATTCTTCCCCAGTTGATGTTTTTGACGCATTTTAGAAATGGACAGTTTCAGAAAACTTCTGCTTGGAAACAGTAAGAGCTTTGGGCTTCGTTCTGTCAGCAAGTGCAAGGATGGCACCAGATTTTTAATGTTAAAACAGTTGTTGGCTGTAAGCTGTGGACCTCAAACCCATGGAAATCACTCGATGGTATCTGAATTAACCTTCAGAAAAGTACCAGATTTCTTCTATCATAGAAATAAAGCTTTTTACCCCATTTTTTTTTCAGAATAAAATAATATTTATTATAGTTAAGGTGTCTGAGATAGTCATTGGAAAATGGAAGTTAGTGAACAAAATGCTGGCCGTATATAAATAATACAGATATATATGTATTCGAGCAGAATCCACGAACCTAAGCAAAATAACTGCCATGTCTTATTGCAATGAAGCAGTAAACCATAGATTTGTATATTTAAGCAATAAAGCTAGCTGTGAACATCTTTTACCCGTACAGTTTTATTGCCTACAGTAATTTATCCACAATACCCGTTACTGTGTCAATTCTTAGAGAAAACATTTAAGATACAGCGAACCATGGATTTTGTGTGAAATTATTTCACAAAGAGAGGGGAAAAAAAAAAAAGAAAAACACCGAAACCTGATCCATTACCTGAGTTATGAATTACTACTGGGAACCAATAAAACAATCAGTATCACAGAAAGGAGAAATAAAACTACTTCAGTCCATATTACACAGAGAGATCAAGTTTTATTGAATAGAGTAACAAGCCACTTGAGGGTAGCAAAGACAGGCAGAAAAACATTCCGAGTAAGTATAACATTGTGCAGGTAGTGACTCTGAAAGAAAAATCAAAACTGAATGGCTGCTCAGTATGAAGTACATAGAGGTAAGAACAAGGATAAAAAGCACTGTAAAAAAAAAAGCATTCAGAAAGTCTTCTTTATAAATGGAATGTTTAGTTTTTCACTCGTATGTATTTTGCAATTGCAGGAGATTGCATGAGGAGGTAGCATCCTAGCCTTTCATGCTGAGTCTAACATCAGTGTGATCTGATGTCAGGTAGCAGGTGATTTAAAACTTCTGCAAACATTAACATCTCACAAGACATCTGAGCTGAGCTTCTGCATATAAAGTGCATCTAAAATTGAGGTATATTGATGAAACTGCATAGTGAACTTTATATAATGCTTGTGTTTTAGCCCCACTGCTTGCCATTTCTCTTACCTTCATGATCGTCTGTTATTGCACAGTTCTTTTCAAAAAGCAGAAAAATAGGATTAATATGCAATGGCAAACAGCATAAACCCCTTAGTTTTTGCATGAGCAAAAACTACTTACTGAGAGGAAAAATAATTACAGAGCTACTAAAATAGCTAAGTAAAAGACCAGGTGTGAAACCCTGAATGAGCACAACAGAAGCCAAGAATCTGTATTTCTAGAGCAGTCAGAGTTTAGATAAGGAATTTGTTTCATATGTGTTTATTTTCAGTGTAAGGCATATTTGGCAACACCTAATAAAACCTATTTCATTACCACAGACAAAATTGTCTAGGCACCTAGTTTTTCTATCTTTATCACTGCAGAGCTAGCATGAGTGATAAAAAGAGTAAGTGTTCAAATACACATACTTCTCACAAATCATAAAGAACTTTGTGCCTGCCCGGTTGGTTAAGGGGCTCATAACTGATCCTCGGCACACAACAACAGTACAGCTGCTTCTACATGTCCAATGTTAATGGTATATCGGTGTGTGTATAAAAATCACATCAAATGGGATTGTCAATACAATATTTCTGATAAAAAATATATTTAAACTGTTCCTTTTGTATATTTAAAGTATGAAAACAGACAAGTCGGTTTCACACTGATAGACTGAGAATGGGGGTTGCAAGTAGTGCAAAAAATCTTTATAACAACACAATCTTATCACAAAATAATTCATGCAGCTACTGACATATTTCTCCTTCTTGCTCATCTGTAAAATAAAGTAAGATTCAATTCTTGACACTTTCAATATTGCCAAATCCTACAGAATCCAAACACCTTCAAGTAAGTAATACCTATACCATAGTTCTCCAGAGACTTCAGCAAGGTCTGCTTGCTCTCTTTTCTGTGAAAAGGCCCTGAAACCCTGATGATGTTGAGAGCACTTTCCCTACTGAGTCTTTAAAACACCCCTGCTTTAAGTTACCCGGACCTTTATGGGATCACAGGATGTTTAAACCAGGTTAAATGCAGACAAAGCCTTTTTAACTTCTCGCAGATTAAGCAGCTGAGAATGAAATGCTCTCTGTTCCAGCCCCTTTACTTTGACAGTGTAATGGAGGATTAATTTTTGTGTTAAGTTCTATTACGTCGTTGACAAAATCACCGTTTCCTATAAAGTCTCCAGCAATTATGTTAATACAGTCTTTTTTCGGTCCTGGATACTGCTGCTTTATCCAGATTTTCAAGCATGGAAGGCTCTGGAGTGTCATTTTCTTCAGTGATCCAAACGGGTGTACAAGAATGTACCGTAAGTTTTCAGTAAGGTTAATCCCCGCTACAAAGAATTTTTCTGAAACGAAAATCAGAAGGTGACACATTAAATGCTCCTTTGAGAACAGAAACTTCTCAGCATTGCCTTAACTCCAGAACTCCGTGCTCTGGGAATCGTTAAAATACTAACTTCACACTCTTTCTGTATTGTTTCATATCCCTAGAACTGTTTCAGTAGGCCGTCTCCCCTCGCTGCAACTGCATGCTGTAGCGAACAGTTACCGAACCAAGCTCGGTTACCAAACCATTCCAGTTGGGCTAAATTTATCTTAATTATTCACTGCAGACTGAAGGTTCTCCGCTAACTAGTCCTCCTTTGCAAACGACGTTTGTTTCTGTAAGGGTTGCTTCCAAATGCTTAGCCTTCCTCCCCTTTACGGGTTGCTCAGATGGGGGAAATGCCTCCCGCCCCCGCCCCTTGTTTCCTCCGAGCGTCTCCCCGTCCCCCCCCTTACCTGGCCGGCCCATCCGCTTCATGAGCTCTAAATACCGGATGAGAGCACGAGTGGCGGTTTTGTTTCCCCACCAGTACGGCATCGCGGGCCACAGCTCCCGGTGCTCCTCCACCGCCGCGTCCTCTTCGTACGAGACTATAACCTGATGGCCACGCTGCCACATGGCCCGCAGCGTCGGCACCACCTAAGGGAAAACGTGCCCAGGTTGAAGTCGACAACGCAGCGGCGCTCCCGAAATTCGGATGCTGGCGTGCGGCGTCGCCTCGGTAGAGAGGCGCGGGATTCAGCTGAAATAAAGCTTTTAAGCGTGCAGCCCCGGAGGCCCTCGGCTGGGTTACAGGCTGCCGGGGCGAGAGGAACCGGGGAACTTCAGCAGGTTCCTCCTCTCCTCGAGCAATTCAACTGCGGGTTAAGTGCATGACCCAAGGTCTTGCGCCTCTGCAGCAAGAAACCGTCCCTGTGTCAGCCCTCGTGCACGCACCGCTGCTGAAAATTTGTCGGGAGAGAAAGGAACGGGCCGTTTGGTGAAAAAGGGTTGGAGGGGGGCAAAGCCCTATGCCCGGCTGCAGGAACACAGACACAGAGGAGCAGGAATCATTTTGGCAAACGCCCCACATTTGTCGCTGTAGCCGTCGAAGAAAACTGAACCGCTTAAGACTTGGTAAGATTAAACGTACGTCTTCGAGAGGTACAGTAATTCTGATTTTTTTTAAGTGAAAAGTTGCTGAAATTGGGATGCTCCAGACGTTTTGAACTGAGAGAGGGGGAGGCTTGAGTCCGAAACCACCTCAGACAGACAGATGGGCTGAAACAGGGCTGTTAAATTTAAGTGTTTCAATATGAAATTACATTTTCCAGTCCTCAAAAGCTACCATCAGACAGAAGTGAGGCCCTCTGACTAGTTTTATTTGCAAACCCAACATATTTAACAAGTACTGGTTTTTTAAGAATGTTGTGGTTAAAAGCTGTGTCTGTTGCTTGTGAAAAGGAAGTGGTAGCTTTGTCATGTTCCAATTAACTTATTAATTAAAATAAAAGCCAAAGGCAGTTGAAAATATCTTATGTAAATCTTTGACAAGAGATGGGTTGAATGAACATGGGAATCCCTCTTACTTCATCCAAGAAAGACAGAGTGAAAGCGCCAATTAAGTCAGAAAATACTGCAAAATTAAGACACAAGCTACTCAAAGTATAAAAATCTGTGGCTGATAGAAGCCTTTGCTTTACTCCAGCTGTCTTTATAAAGCTGGAACCTCTTAAAAAAAAAAAAAAAAACAAACAAACAAACAAAAAAGCTACCAGAAATGTGTACATGAGCACAGGTGCTTATTTTGCAAACAAAGCTGAAATGAAACTGTAGTTGTCTAACAAGGGATTTTTAAACCCTAGTAATCCAGATCAAAGGAAAACACCTTGAATAATTAAGGCAATTAAAATTTTAAACGCAATGTAATGTTGTAACGATGTGGCCTGTGCCAGTACTACGGACAAACCTCTACTTAGCAGTTGCTTCACAAACACTCTGACACTCACTTTTGTATGACAACAGTTACAGTCCTGAAAGACAGTAGACACCAGATTATTTTAGAGTAAGCGAGCAAGCACTTGGTTATTTGATGTTAAATCTGAATCTGTGATCCTGAAAAACCCCACAGCTACCTAACCTGCAACAGTATCACTTGCAAAAACGCTGAGATCCATTTTGCTGGTCACAAACCCCATAGAAATAAAGTCTTCCTGCTTGAGGGAAGTACTTGGCTTTGCTTTTCCCCAGTGCCATTCCTCCCTCCCCCTGAACACAGAAACCTTCTTCCTTCAGTCAGGTGATCTCAAACCATTTGTTCATCACCTTCATTCAACAAACTACCAGCAGCAGCTTGCCCTTTTTGCAATTAATAACTTTTTCCCTTTTAAGAGCTGGCCATGTATCTGAAAGCAAATCCGTTTTCTCTGGTATTGCTCTGCTCATCCAAGTTACACACTCAAGTATTTGGGGAAACAATAAAACAGTGTCACTTACGTCTTCAGTTACTCAGCTGAGGCCTGAATATTCAGAATCCCCTAGTTTTGCTGAGAATTGGTCTATTTTAACTCTGCTGTACAAAATGCTTTGAAATGGTAATACTCGCCCCTTACTGATACACCAGCTTCAAAGGCTGAATTCGAATCGCAAACAGGGTCATCATTATCCTGTACCCCTCGCATCTCCAGAGAAAACCCTCTGTTCCTGTGCATCTTTGAAATGTTAATTGTTTAACTACTAAAAGCTACCACTCCTTGAAAAAAAAGAGGAAGTTAAAATCTCAACTTCTAAAATTTAGCAATCAAATAATTTCTGATTATTCAAATTAAGACTCTTCTGGAGGTTTGGGTGACTGAAAGCACATTAAGCTGGTTGGAAGGTAAGCTCCAGCTCATGTCCAAGAAAGAAAGTCAATGCTACCAGAAACGCACGGAAGGTAGAGATGCTATTAAGAGGGACCTCAACAGGCTGGAGACGTGAGCCGTCAGAAACCTCATGAAGCTCAACAAAGGCAAATGCAAAGTCCCAAGCCTGAACGGACTAACCCCACGCACCAGGACAGACTTGGGGCAGCTGGCTAGAAACCTGCTTTGCGGAAAAGGACCTGGAGGTCTTCGTGGACACCAAGAAAGGTCAACTGCAAACTGGACTTCATTAGTAAAGGCACGGACAGAAGGTCAAGAGAAGGGGTCCTTCCCTTCTCTTCAGCAGTTGTGGGACTGCATCTCGAGTACTGTCTCCAGCTGGGGCTTCCCCAGTACAACAAGGTCATTGACGTGCTGGAGTGAGTCCAGCAGCGCTCAACCAGAGCGAGCAGAGGCTGGAACGTGACACTCAAGCCCAGGCTGAGAGCTGGGTCAGTTCAACCAAAAGAAGGGAAGACTACGGATGCGTCTCACTGCTGTCTGCAAATACCCAACAGGCAGATGTAGAGAAGACTCCTCAGATACGCATGGCAAAAGGGTAGAAGTCAGCAGACGCAAGTTACAGCCAGACAGAAAGACAGAACCTGATCAGATAGAGAAGGAAAACACTTTTACCATGAGAGTGATCAAATGTTGGACCAGACAGGGTGGAAAGGTTGCTGAATCTCCATTCTCTGAGACATTAAAGAACAGACAGGACACAGCCCAACGTAACTTGGAAGCTGGTCCTACTTTGCATCGTGGGGTTGGACAAGATGACCTCCAGAGGTCACTTCCAACCTAAACTATTATAAATAGCATACAAATTCATTTATATTTATTGTTGTGAAAAGGCAGAAAATGGACTCTTTAAATTCTATACATACAGTATGGACTATATTTATAACACACACCTTCTTTTCTTTTTTTTTTTCTTAACAAAACTCAGACAGGATGACAGTTGCGTCCCTACTATTGTCCCACAGCTCAGCAGCCATGACAGCCAAATATAATTCCCTCCTCCACACTGTGGGATGTAGGTTTGCTTTATCTTCTTAATTTTATTAGGTAAAGACCTATCTCTGATGCAGCAAGTGTTACTTTTCCTGGGTTAAAAATACAGTTAAAGTAGACTATATCTAAAAATTTGGAATCAAAGATCTCAGCATAATATATCATTCTTAAAAAAAGGGAGAAAAAAGGGATCTCATACTTACATTTCTGGGACACAGTTTACACTGGAAGATCTCTTTAATATAGGCAATAAGAAGACAATGAAGTTTCTTGGTTAATCCGTCAAAATTCCTGCAGGCTAAGATAACAACTTCCTGAGGATGAGTTTCCAACCACCTTAACACTTCCCACAGAATATCCTACAAGAGAGAGTCACAGCAACTTAAAAAATCATCTGTGCTATGCAGGCGAAAGGACATAAAACCAAAAGAGCATTGATGGTGGGGTAGACTTGCAATCACAGTAATGAAAATCAACACAGGCTTCTGGAGGATGGCGATGTGACTGCCCACGGGGTGGTCCAGAGAGATGGACCCCAGGAAAACCTACCTTCTGCAGGTCCATGCTGGTTTGCCCTGGATGTGATTCTAGCACATTACACTTAACAGCTTTGGGTTTTGATAATATCCATGAACCTCCTACTGCCCAGAGGCGGGTTAGCAGTAAACCCACCTTCCTTGAGGACAAACAAGATATTAGTGGCAAATTCAAAACCAGGGAAAACTTCTGTGCTTGCTTAAACATAACAGGATCCTTTTTCCCCATTTGTTATGGGCAATGACAGCTTCTTGAAGTCCACATATAATTAGCAGGGTAGTTAGGCACTGCATCTAACTGCTCACATAAGCATGCCAGTCACCATGAAATCTCAACACATGAAGGGTTCATACTCATGAGCATGAAACTGAAGTTCAGCCAGTTAGCCTACAAATGAAAAGCTGCATTAGCTGGCCACATCTGGCTGTACAGGTCCCAGCAGATGGAAAGAAGACGTACACTACTTCACAGTGACAGAGCACAAGCAAAGAGCAACTCACAGTAGTTTCCTCACAGAAGCTGACAGTAATTTGGTCATGGTCTCTCTGTCTTTCAGTGAAATACTTTCTCCTCAAAAAAAAAAAAGTGTTGCTGTGATGCTATTAGCCTTTTAAAACCTTCTTCTCTTTAATAACTTCTCTCCTTGCTGGGGAAACAGGAGTGCCCTGAGTAGCATCCTGGGACAACACAAGATAAACCCCAGAAACATCAGCCACTTGGTAGGGGCTAGGCAGTGGAGAGCAAGGCACAGCAACTCCAGTTTGAGGATGAAGAATTGATTGATGCTCCAGTCTCACTTGCAGCTGCTGAAACAAACTTCCAGCCCTGCTGATTTTCTCTAGTTTGAAGTCTTCACATTAGGAAAACAAATAACCTACTCAGAAAAAACTTGGTCCGGCATTTTCAGATAACGATGGCTCTTAACTAAAAGAAACAGCACTGGTTCTATAGCCACTTTGAAGGTAAGGGCAATACCTGTACAGTAACAGTTGTGTAAACCATATGCACGAAGTACAAATTCATAGATGGATCGTTAGCCTTGTGGGCAATCCTGAAATCCAGATATCTAACTCCAGCCTCAAGCTGCTCCGTCACAGTCAGTACCTGAAAGGTGAAACAGAAGACAAAGGTCCCAAGAGCTTGGAAGAGATTTGTTTCTTTAGTCTAGAAAGCTGAAAAAGATGTACAAAGTTAGTCTTACGACATTTTTCACAGGTCTTTCATTTTTAAAATGGCACGATATGCCACTAAATCACAACTTGAAGTATTTTACTCTCTGACACGATGGATCCCAATTTCCATGTGGCATATACTGCAGGTACAGATTAGATTAGGTTCACACCTCTGCCCTTGTGTTCTGAAAGTCAAAGATCCATTAACCTGTGCATAAAGACATGATTATTCTTCAGAATACTATTTGTATGAAAAAAAAAGTTGCAGGATCAGCACCTTAGAAATGCTGTTATATTTTACTAGATCAAAGACTTCACCATGGTTGTCTCTGTGGAGCTCACTCACCCTCAACAGAAGGAAAAGCAAAAATAGAAAAAAGAACTGGCTATTGTTCTTTTTCAAGATAAAGCCTCTTAAAAAGTTTGAATTAATCTGTGAAAGTCCTACAAAAGAGAATTCCTCCTCTATTTCCACTTCCCTCAGACCTCTTCTACTAGATTCGGGCTGAATGGAACAGGTGATAAAGTTGAGCTTCTGGGGCAAAAAGTCCCAAATCATATGTCTCTTATCTATATCAAAGCTTCCTTCACATAAGAAAATGGCATTAAGGAAATACATTTAAATGCTAATTTGTCTCAGTTCAACTTGCGATGGACAACACTTTCAGGTTTCAGAAAGCATAGGCTGTACTGAATTAAGTCAGAAAGGGTTCAGCAAAAGCTAAATCAACAGAAGGCATTGTGCCTGAATAACCACATTTGTAGCTTTAGGGCCGAGATAGAGGCTTAAGGCACGCAGCAGGATGCTCCCCCTTGCCTAGGTTCAACCGGCGAACTCCCTCGTTCTCAGGACGGGGAATTGAGTCTCCCGAGGGTGCTGTGCCTGAGCCGTGGGGCTGGGGAGCACCCCCAGGCCCCGGGGTGCCGACGGTGCGGTGGCTCGGGCCAACCGCTCCCTCTGTGCCTGCGTGGTCTCCGCCGGGCTGGAGCCGTTGAGGGAGTGACCTGTGCCCGCGTCTGAAACCAAAAAAGGCCCAAATAGGCCTCAAACCAAAGTTGGCTTCTGAGCGAATCCCCCCAACCAGCAACCAGCATCTTAGCAGCAGCACGAAGCAACCAGCATCTCATCAGCATGAAATGCAACCCTGGGAACAATCCCTGGGAACTATAAATAAGTAACTATAAATCCCAAATGTAAAGAAAAACGGAGACTCCTCACATGTGCCCGGATCCTGGCCAGATCCAGACATGCCTGACTGAGGCATGTCAATCTACCAGCTATCTCCAGTGTATTTTGTTTAGACTTGTTTGTTAACCTGTACAAAAGCCGGGCCCCCTCCCAGCACAGACGCAGACCCCACCTACGAGCGGACACACTGCGTGGGACTTCCCAGCTGCCGGGACAGGCTCTGCGACCCTTCGCTGGGACGGGGCTCCCCGGCTGGTGCACGGGTCTGGATGATGGTAAAGTAGGAGGGCAGCTGGTGGTGGATCTTTCTAAATCACTATAGCCAGCTCTATGTGGTAATGACTAGGTGCATTACCTTGCTTATCCTTTCCGCTGCTTTAAACAGTAATGTCTAGGTGCATTACCTTGCTTATCCTTTCTGCTGCTTTAAACTAAAGTAAAATAAGCCTATTTCTTTAGCCTGGTGGCTGTGTCCTTTGTGTTAACCCCGTCAGTTGGCAAAACAGCGTCCCACCCTCGCTTGGAGCACGCTGGAGATGGGAGCGTACGCGGCTGTCGGTCACGCATAACCTTTCCGGCCAGCAAGAGCACCAGATGAAATAGCTGCTCGGAACTGACCTTTGGACGAATTAATTTCTTTCTGTTGACTGCATGGGAAAACTAGACAAATTAGACTCTCTAATTAGTCACCCGGGTTTGGATACTGAATTAGACGGCGTGAACATTGCCCCGCCGAGGGCAAAATTTAAGAGGAAGCCTTGGAGAGCGGTGCTGCTCAGCGCTACTGGTCCCACACCAGACCTCCAGGGCACGAGTGGGTGTTACACACCCGACGTCGGCCGCCACGCAGGAAAGATTCGGGGCTCTGGACTGACACCCGTAACAGCCAGGGCTCCAGCCAGGCACCACCTCCGAGGCGCCGGGCCACCCAGGGACCGGTGGGTCCCACCATCGGTACGGCTCCTTCGTGTCCGTTCTGGATACCGACGGGTGGGGTCACCTCCCCGCAGAGCTAAGGAGGGGCAGGATTGCCTCCTTCCCACCGCTGCCAGGCCGCAAAATTACTATAATGATGCAAGGAGCCTGTTTATCATCAACAGGGTCGCTTCACTGGCCAGCAACCCGCGGGTTAGAAGGTTTCTAAATCTTTCATTGGTTTAAGTCCCAACCCAAAAAGCAGCTCAAGACACTGTGCTAAGCGAGCGCCCTTCCCCATCAACTCATCGCTGCTGTTACATATTCGGTATCTGGTCGTGTCTAAGACTCCAGTTTGCCAGGGCTGCTCAAACACAACAAAAGAAGCCTAGGCATAATTGTTGCCACTTATCCATTATTCCATTTTAATTCCCTAATAATGAACTACTCCTTCAATAAGAACAGAAGTGGAAAGAATTTTGGTACCTCTTTGATGCCAAGAAAGTTTGTTCTGTAGAAAAATCTTCAAAGCTCTAGCTTAAATCATGATCCCCAACTCGATCTTTAAGATAGAATTGTGAGGAACAAAGAGATAAATACTAGCTTAATATTTAGACATTTTAAAAAATTAACCAAACATCATGTGAGGGACCACACCTTCATTCTCTCAATCTTTATGGGAAAAAAAAAAAAAATTTCCTTTGATGAGATTTTTGTCTCTGCTGCTGGGTGAAATACTTAGGCAATACAGATGGGGAAAACAACTGACATCTCATACGACAGCGATAGGAAAAATGACGAGCATTCCCTTCTGAACAAAGTACAAGAGAAAAACCTCTTTTGATTATAATAATATTACATGTTACTTACAACAACAATAAACACGTGAAAAAGAAGGCGAGTTTCCAGTACCAAGTGGTCAGCTTCAAGCAACATCTTTGTCTACGTATCATCCCTGCCTCACTCACATGCTTTTTCCCCACAAAAGAAGTTCTGGTATGTATGGCAACTACCTCATGCCCCAGTGTGCTGGTTTTGGCTGGGATAGAGTTAATTTTTTCCATAGTAGCTGGTACAGGGCTGTGATTTGGATTTGTGCTGGAAACAGTGGTGGTAACACAGGGATGTTTCAGCTATTGCTGAGCAGTTCTTACGCAGAGTCAGGGCCCCTTCTGCTCCTCACCCCACCCCACCAGCGAGGAGGCCGGGGGGGGGCACGTGGAATTTGGAGGGGACACAGCCAAGACAGCTGACCCCCAGCTGACCAGAGGGACATCCCACACCGTGTGATGTTGTGCTCAGCAATAAGAGGTGGGGGAAGAAGAAGGAAGAGGGGGACGTTCAGAGTGATGGTGTTTGTCTGCCCAGGTCACTGTTAGGTGTGACGGAGCCCGGCTGTCCTGGGGATGGCTGAGCCCCTGCAGAGTGAGGAATTAATTCCTAGGTTCGCTTTGCTTGCGCACGTCGCTTTTGCTTTACTTATTAAACTGCCTTTACCTCAACCCACGAGTTTTCTCACTTTTACTCTTCTGATTCTCTCCCCCCATCCCACCGGCGAGGAGGGAGCGAGCAGCTGCGTGGGGCTTAGCTGCCGGCGGGGGTTAAACCGTGACACCCAAGCACGGTAACTCGTGAGAGCTCAGGTTTCTGAGTAGCATTCTATTCTTTCATTCCACGGGGCAGCATGACCACTCTCAGCACTGCAGCACAAACTTCAGCTTTGCCCAGGCATGATGAGAAAGCTAGACAGCAGTTACCTGTGTTGTAGACCACTTCATGATAATGGGGTGCACGATGCAGGGCATACATTTGTTTAAAAACTTCACCAGCTTGGATTCATTGCCACTAACAGCGGAGTTTTTATCCAAGCAGTAGGTCATAGTGTCGTGACTCCCTGTAGAATACAAAAAAAAAAAAAAAAAAAAAAAAACACACAGAAAATGTAATTTCTTAACTACTCAAGACCACAATACATGGTTATATTGCACATGCACACCTGACATGCCACCCCATTTCCAAATCACAGCCTAGGTAGTTATGGCAAAAAGGTGGGCTCTTCTACAGAGCTTGCTCATCTGACATTAATAAGCTCAGTGTGAAATCCTCATGAAGGGAAGGCATCGAGCCTTCGATAAAGCGGTCCCCATCTAAACTGCACATCATTGTTGTTTGCCTCAAACCACAATAAGATCACCTGTTTTGATTAGCACCTTCCACTGAAATAATTACCTTGATGAGAAAAAAAGCACTTTTTTCAAGGAATAAATAACTAAAGGCTGAATTTATCTAGAACTTGTCCTGTTTTCAGAGTTGTCCAAATGCAGGATTTCATACTCCAATCCCGCCATCTCTGCCCGGGAAAATACGTCTGAAAGCAGAATTTCATCTTCTTACACCTTTGACTGGACCAACGCCTAACTTGGCACTTTAAGCATTTATATTTCAAATATCTGGTAAAAATGCCCCCCTGAACTAAATACCCGCATCCCCTGCAAAAGCAACGTAAGAGGTGGGCGCTTCGGTGTTTCAGAGGCAAATCCAAGTCTAAGTTTACATGTGATAGATTAACAAAATCTACCTTTTATGGACTTCAAAAATGACCTGACTCCTTCCAGCACAAGGAATTACACAGGGACTGACAACCAGTGATTTTGCCAAGCTTTTTCTGTTCGATTATTTCTTCTAATTTTATAAAGCATCAGTAAGAAAAGCTAACTCAGTGAAGTGACTTGCTGGGATCTTTACAGAGTATCTGCAAGGAATTTGTGTATCTTTTTGGTTTTTAAGTCTTCTGTCAAACGAATTGTTCACTGGTGCTAGGAACTGCCTTCTCAAATGATCAGTCTTACTGGTGCCAATGACAACATTTCTAGCAGCCAAAGAAAAAGGATAAAATCATACCTGAAGTAAAGGAAATTATTTGAAACTGCCAGTAATAGTTTAACATCTCGTTCAATGTTTTCACCTTTTAAAATCAGGTTTCTGTCTGTTTCCCTGCTTTAAACACCCGAACCAAGCTCATTTCAGATGGAAGATTGATAATGAGGACATGCAATCATATTGTCTTACAAGACGTAAGAGTCAAACCATTAAATATCAACAGACCAAATCCAAGTCTGAGAGAAGTGAACAGGATTCCATTGATGGGCATTGCACCTACTGATGCAAACCAGCGAACAGAGAGTAACCTTTTGTTTAGGACTCTTCTTGTGATGTCAGTGAGTTACAGTAATGAAAGGGAGATGGGTATATCCATGACACAACAAAAACGATGCAAAGATAGTGAGCTAGCACCAAACCAGGTAGCTTCAGAGACTGAAGCAACATCTCCCCAGCAGCACTGGGCTGAACCTGGTGCAAACACAACACTAATTACAGAGACTTGCCTCTGTCTCCTCGTCAGGCTTTCAGAATGCACTCTCTGACATTTCTTGCATGCCTTGTTGTCTTCTCTATCTGAGATAAGCTTCCACTTCCAAATTGGACTTCCCCCAGTCACTGATCCCTCTGAAAACCTGCCAGAGATATCTTGACCTGGTTGGTCTTGATCTGCTTTTGTTCTGACCTGGGCTAGACCAGTTTTGTGGGTCAGCTGGACAGCCACCAAAATCTTCCAAGCTCATAGCCCGCCATGCTCTGTAAAAATCCTCCAATGTTTGCTAAAATGGGCTTGTCTTGAACTATTCTTTTCTTCATGCCTGTACTCCACGCAGGCATGTTCACAGGAACAACAAACATTCACAAGAATAACGAGGTCACATTCAGAGAAGAGCCAGGAAGTCAAAGGCACACATCAGCGGGTTCTCAGCTTTCTACATCCAAGAAACACCACTGTGAAAGCATTTTAGAAACAGCATGGTTCCTTTTCCACAAAAAACAAACCAAACCAAAACAAAACAAAACAAACAAACAAACAAAAAAAAACCAAACCAAAACAAAACAAAAAAAAGAAAAAAAAAGAAAAAAAAAACCCACAGCATGCTACTGATTTTTTGAAGGATTTTTGCAAGAGGAAAAAAAAAAAAAAAGGAAAAAAAAAACCCTAGATATTATTATCTTCTTTCTTCTGTCATAAACCAGATACTTATTTTCTTCTCTTGATGGTTAAATAAGAAATCTAGGATTTGTTTATAAGAGCTGTCCTGGGGTCCTCTTACGTAGGCTTTATCCAAAACAGAGGTGCACTTAGTTTGAAGTAAACATCAATTTAAATTACATATCCAAGAAGTCACCATGAAATAAGTTTCTGGGTTTCAATTTTAATTGAAACTCCACACTCCATTAGTTCATGAAGGGCAGAAAAAAAAAAAATTCACCACAGTTCTTGGGCTCTCCCAGGGCTCTACCCACTGAAGACATGACTTGATTTTTCCCACTATCTCTAAACACACATCTTTGCTAAAGTTAACCTATGATCCTGTAGCCTACAGAAAACATTCATGTACATGCTGCACTGCATTCCACCCATCGCATCTACAGGTGTGAGAGAAAATACGAGCTAGACTTTTCTTTAGTACCATTTTCATTGGGGAGGCAAAGGGAATAAGTCCAGAGCTGACAGTCCTGCAGTGCCTCCCCACACGCCAGTGAGAACAGATTCTCCTGTAACTTCTTTGGACAGAATGAGGGAGAAAAAAAAAAAAAAGAAACATCTCTTCAAGGCATCAGAGAGAAGCAATAACATGACCAAAGGAAGGCTAATGATAAACAGGTCTGAAAGTAGTGCCAATGAGAAAACCAGTTATAGCGCAGCTGTATTTGCCCATAATAAGAGTCATGCAGAAAAGTCACACTCTACGTTAATAAAAATATATGTTAATTAAAAGTCTCAATCCTTCTTACTTCATGCCTTCACAGCATCTTTTAAACAATACAAATAAAAAAATTATAAGGTAAAATATTATTTTTCTCCTTTTGGAACCATTTTATTATATAGGAAGTGTCAAGAATGAACTAGGAAAATCTCACCATTCCTCAGATAAGCAAATGCTCAGATTATTAACACGGATCTGACAAGATGATGCAGTGGGACTGCAAAAAAGTTCCTTTTTCTTTCCTTCCCTCAAAAAAAACAAACAAACAAAAAAAAAACTTTTCCCTCGCCCTCCAAAAAAAACCAAACATTACAGACTAAAAGTATTCACCTGCACTCACACGTCACACAAACCCTTCCCCAAGTCCTTCTCCCACACACTGACCCAAATAATAAATGTAGCCATCCTGAAATGGGACAAACAGGATGTTCCCATGCTTAAATGACACACTAAGAAGAGAAGTCAGTCTTTACCTGGAAGAGCCAAGTTATAGAGGGGAATATCCCAGAGCTTCTCTGGTAATCGTGACATCCATTGACCATTTTCATGGCACATGTGAATGGCGGTTTGCAGAGGGCCTTCCATTACTGCCTGCTCTAGAACTTCATAGGGTGTTCTGGGAGGGAAAAAATAAAAGAAAAAGCCACTCCATATACTGTGGTTAAATTAATGCCATTGCACCTGTGCAGAACAGATTTCCACATGCTGTAAAATGCCAACTCTTCTCTCCAGTAGCTGCGGCAAAGTGTAGATAGATTCTCGGCCACAACACACGCTGCTTCTGATCACACTGTCTCACAGCACAACGTGAAGGGAATGCTCCAGCTTCAGGCTTGTAAATTGACCAACTGAAAGAAAAAATAACGCCAAGACAAATATGTGCAGCTTTGTTGGTGTGGAGAAATGACTATCTATATCGGCTATTGCAACGCCATAAGGAGTAACCCATCTCCAGTGTAAAACAATGTCTGTTCGTTGTCCCTCTGCAGCCTCGGGAGCTTGGCAGTGGGATGGATGGCAGAGCCAGGACTGAGGCTGGGTCTGCAACCCTCAGGTCCCTGGAGAACACTTACCTTGAAGCATCAGTTCAGCTGCCACAACAAAACCTCTAGGAAAAGCCTTGACAAAGACGTCAGGGCATTGGATTTTCGGGTCGTGCTGGCTTCTGGGTCATTCCCTTTTCTGAGAAGATCTGGTGATGTCTGTTCTTATCACCCCTACCGAGCCCCTGATCACAAATACTTCAGTTTGGTCAGACCTTCCTGAAAACTACTCTGGAACTGTTCTTCTTGGATACAAGCCTCTCTGGGATCTTCTGCAAAATTTGCAACGGTCACGCAGGAATCCCAGTGGATGAAAGCCAGCTGAGAAATCATGGTTACCAGAGGGGGGGTTTTTTTTGGCAGTCACATAGGGTCGTGTGAAAGGCAACTTTAGGAACTGCACTGCTAAGTTTTATGTCCCTACCGCACATAACACATACAATCTGCTTTTATATCTGCCAATGCACATACTCTCCCTTTTCCAGCCTGCCTCGCTGTGCCTTCGGTGTGGCTTGGAATTGGCCTCTCTGGGCACAGCCACCCCAGTTAAGACACGAGTGGGACCCTGTCAGCTGAGGGGAATGCCCAGTGACACCGGCTGCACGTGTCCGGTGTGTAACCTGGTACTTTCCTCCAGGCAAACAGCAGCTACCTCTGATCTTATCCATTCACACAAGGCCGTTGTGTAAGCAGGAAATAAGTGGTTTAAACCCTCTCTTGCTCCCTCTGTCTCCCTATTTTAGAAAAACAGATATTGGATGGGCCTAGTACAAAGGTGAGTGGAAGAACTCCCATGGATTTATTTAGAATAAAAAGGTGCAGATCTTTTTGTCCTGCATAAGCAAATGGTCTCTCTATGCCACGTCTGGTACTTAGTCTCAGAAAGGAGGTCAGATTTCAGGCAGATCAACTCATCCATCCTCTGGCTCTGCAATTTAACCCGCTGAGCTTCTGCCTCCTGCAGACCCCTTGCTCAGACAGCATGTGCCTGCAGCTAATCTTGCCCCCTTTTGCTGTGTTTCATGCGTCCTCAGGCAGCACACCACTGCTCAGCCAGGGCTGCTCTGCTCTAGGCCACGTACCACGTAGCATCAGCACGGACAGGGGCTGCAGGTGCTTAAAACAACATTGCTCTTTAGTAGTTGCAAAAGCCTGGATGGTTTTTCTCCTTCCCCAGCTCTGAAGCTGACGGGAGCTGTGAGGATGCAACACTTCCAGCACATCGCAGCACTCACGTGTGTCCTGTACACGGACTAGAAACCTCACTAGGAGCACTGCTTTTCCTCTTTTCCTTGGGATCCGCAGCTCCCCTTCCAGAGCCTTTGCGGCTGCCTAATTCCTCTGTTCTCCAAAGACACCCATGCCCCACACCCCCCACCCCCCCAGAGCAGGCACGCAGCCCCCCCAGTGAGCAGCAGGGACCCGTAAGCCCTGCCAGCCACTGGGACCTTGGCCCAGCACGGGCTCCCCTGCACTGACATCGCTCCCGGGATGCGTCCGCGGGGGCAGGTTTACCCGCTGCCACCCCCTCCGCTTGGGCTCACGCGGGCGCAGTCCCACGACTAACAGCAAAAGGTCTGGTTTTCTTGCCACGCTAGCCCCTCGCACCAGCTCGCCACCCAGCCAGGACAGCCGGGCGCTGGCCCACGCTGAGGAAGCCCTGCGGTGGCACCAAGCCCCACAATCAGCTTTGCCGAGCTGCACAACAGACACCCCCCCCCCCCCCCCCCCATGGCATTGCCCACCCGAAACCCACGGGCAGCAGGCTCTCAGCCTGGCACAAGCTGCCGTCAAGGCCCCAATTTCTGCAGGATTGGGTCATTTCAGAAGGAGCGTCCTGCTGGCGCTGGGGAAAGCCAGCGGAGAGCAAAACCAGCGAGCGCAAGGCACGCCGCAGTCCTGCAAACGCGGGCGTGTGAGAAACTCACACCTCACCCTCCTCTTCTCCTTCCCACCTCCCTCCTCAGGACCCTGAGGCTGGGGGTAGCAGTCGGCTGATCCCCTCCAGATGGGACTGCGCCAGATTTTGGCCTGACCCCCCCCCCCCCCGAGCAATGCAAAGCCCGAGGTGTTCACGCCGCCACCTCCAAACCCAGCCGCTACCTTGTGTTTGAGATGTGGGGTAGCCTTTGGGGAGAAACTGAGGCTTGCCTGGAGGAATGAAATCACAGCCCTTAGCTACCGCCTCTCGTCACTAAACCCTAAACTTCACGGAGGAGAATTGTGTCTTTATTTCCTCCTTCCAGACGGGCAAGTCCACCCCACACGCGTCGCCGTGATTGACTCCCCCCCCCGCTCCCCACGTTCACACCAGATTTCTGACCTGGACTTGGGTGGTCTGAGTGAGGGCAGCAATTACATTTAGAGGATTCTACCGGGACGCAAATGATAAATAAGGCATAAAACGGGCAAATCTGCAAAGCCACTAGAGATCACCGTCCTCCAGCCTCGTTAAGGCGGGAGAGCATCGGGGTGCATCTCCCCAGGGTTGGGCCCAAAGCACGCACAGCCCCGAGCGCAGGGGGGGGGGGTGATATGCTTAATGAATGTTTGATGATGCTATAATTAAAACATCTGCTCCAGCCCACCCAGAAGCTAATTAGCGTCACGGGACCCTACAGGAAGCACCGTGACGGGAACTACCCGAACTGCCACGGCGAGGAGAAAGCTGCCGGCCTCACCAGCCGTGGGGGGCGAGACCACGGGAGAAAGGCTCAGCGATCCCCCCCCCCACGCAACCCGCCGCCGTGCCCTCTGCTTTTTTTTTAAAAAAATTGTTTTACTTACTCGGAAGGACGGCTTGGCTTCCATCTCAGCTCTTCAGGGAGGCTTGCACACCTCGGCTCCTCCTCCCTCCCCCCCCCGATCCCCGGGGGGGTGGCCGCAGCGCTCCCAAGCTCCGCGCCCTGCCCGCGCTCGGGGCGGGGGGCTGCCCTCCCCTGCCTGCCCTGCCAGGGCCAAGGGTTTGAGGGAGATGAGGAAGAGGAGGGGAGGTGGGTCTGGGGGAGTTGGAGCTGCCGCTGGGTGGGCTGGAGATGTATTGCTTCGGGGGAGGCACCTGCAGGGAGGGGGCAGGCAAAGGCACCGAGCGATAGCACGTAGCCGTCCTTCCACCCCGTTGAAAATCCACGAATGCAAAAAAAAAGCCTAAAATACATATTTATAAATATATATGTAGTACCTTAACTGCCTGCTTTGCCCAACAGAGTTTCTATTTCTTCAGTTTGCAGAGATGCTGCGTGATTCGCTCATTCTTTCCCCTCTGCAGCCCCTCGCCCGCGGTGAAAGGCGGTCCTATTTGTTAGCAGAAATCTAGGCAAGCTTCTCGAAAAGCTTTTCTGTGTCAGGAGGCAGGAGGTAAAGGAGTGAGTGAATGGCATGTAGGGGCGAACACGCAAATCCTCGGTGCAGTTTGGGAAGCAGGGTGCCTGCTTGGCCTTCCCAGAGTAGCCGAGGAAGCTCCCCTACTTCATCTCCCTGTTCCAAATGCGCATTAAAGCACGTAGTTCCCTAAGTAAAGAACAGTGAGATGAAGCTCCAGTGGAAAGAATGGATAGAGACAACTGATTTCCCTTTTTCCTCCACAGGGCAGTGTTCCTAGAGGGTCACCTACAGCGGAATGGGGATCTGGCTGCTCTGGGATCCTACCGTGGTCAGGACTAGGGAAAATCCAGGCTGCTGCAGTGTTGTGCTTCTTAATTCAAAGACATATTTCCCAGCTATCCCTTTTTCACTACTTCATTTTTGCATGAACTCCTTTTTCACTACCTCGGTTTTTGCATGAGGCAGAGCAAAAGGAAAAGCAGTGCTCATGTACAGAGAAAAAGGAAAAGCAGTGTTCATGTACAGAGAAAAAGAAAAGCAGTGCTCATGTACAGAGAAAAAGGAAAGCAGTGTTCATGTACAGAGAAAAAGGAAAGCAGTGTTCATGTACAGAGAAAAAGGAAAGCAGTGCTCATGTACGCAGCAAAAGGAAAAGCAGTGCTCATGTACAGAGCAAAAGGAAAAGCAGTGTTCATGTACAGAGAAAAAGAAAAGCAGTGTTCATGTACAGAGCAAAAGGAAAAGCAGTGCTCATGTGCAGAGCAAAAGGAAAAGCAGTGCTCATGTACAGAGAAAAAGAAAAGCAGTGTTCATGTACAGAGCAAAAGGAAAAGCAGTGCTCATGTACAGAGAAAAAGAAAAGCAGTGTTCATGTACAGAGCAAAAGGAAAAGCAGTGCTCATGTGCAGAGCAAAAGGAAAAGCAGTGTTCATGTACAGAGCAAAAGGAAAAGCAGTGCTCATGTACAGAGCAAAAGGAAAAGCAGTGCTCATGTGCAGAGAAAAAGAAAAGCAGTGCTCATGTGCAGAGCAAAACTTGCTGTGCCAACACCAGCGGCCGGACCAGGTTAACATTTGGCTGAGTTGTTCCTGTTGGTGAGTCCCGGGACAGCAGGGCTGCCTCGGCTTCAGGGTTATGCCACAGTTCAGGCGGCTGTTTATGTACCAGCTCTTACAGAGTATCACAAAACTAGCTGGAGGTAGGTGCAGAACAGCCATGCAGCAGGTTGTAAAGCTAGGCACAAAAAGGACAAAATGCCAAAAGGGATGAAGTAGAGCAAAAGAGAAGGTAAGGAAGAAAATATGCTAGTTAAAGGCTTTCTAAAGGTGATTTTCCACCGCCATGATAGAAAGTGGCTGAGAACAGTTATGGAGAAGGATTGTTGTGCTCATTGTGGAATAAAAGAAATGGGAAAGTATTTTAAACAGGAAAAGTTAGGCGGAAAAAATCAGAGAAAATCAACTTTAATTCTTCATTTACTTAGAAAGTTAAGACTATGGAGATGTGACAAAACAGCGGTCTGGCAGCCTCTGGGTACTACCGTGGTGAATACAGCACATCCAGACACGGTTCTGGTCTTGTAAAGCAAACCTGTCTGAAGTTGTTGGGACTAGCGGGGAAAACATGACTGTGGAAATGAAAATGTAAAAGCTATTTTTGTGTTGATTTGAAATTAGTAGCAGAAAAATCAAAAAGAACCACGAAACTGAAACCCCAATACATTTTATTCTGGAGGCGTTACAACAGGGCTTTACACCGGAGCAATGTGAAGTATCTGCTGACTCATGTGGAAATGATCTTGCAGGTCTCACCTCAATTAAAATACTCTATCAGCAAATCTCAAGCCCTCTCCAAATGCTCCTAATTCCCACCTTTTCAAGTCTGAGTTTGGGTCTTAGTTCTTCTTCATTTGCATTGGAATTACTAGAGATGTCAAGAGAGTTGCTCCTGATTTAGTCCTGAGATCATAATCTAGCTAGAGGGATTTAGGAAGCCCATAAAATGAGGAATGTTAGGAAATTAATCAGCAAGGGGTTAAGCCCTAAATAAGCACACCTCCAGAGGAAGGGTCAAGGCAAGAATAACTGTTAGCAATATTTGCAGAAATAAGGACAAACAGATTTCAAGATGAGGAAGCAGGGGCATGAAAATGCCCAAGATTTCTCAAACCCTCCTCACAAAACAAACGTCTGCCTTAAAAAGACTGAGAGTGGAGTTCAAAAGTATTGGACAAAGAAGAACTTACCCAGAAGGCGCTTACCAGATTTTGAAGCACTCAGTACTGAAAAGGTTTGAAGCTGGTGGCATCTGAGAGAGTCAGAAGAGGCAGATACAGAAGCTTCAGCGTTGGCATTGATGGAAATGCAGGTCTGATTTATAACTGTGGATCAGAGTGAAAATTTCTGGTTTGTTAGTCACAGTGACAGCAGTCATAGAGCTGGTCTTTATACATTTAAACAGCTTTAGCTTACCAAAATATGCCATACTCAGCCTGAGAGAAATCAGTTGATTTTTTCAGGCGACTTAGAGGTTTATGAGATTTTTTTTTGAACGGTTACAATATTTGGGATGTTGTATAAGACTTTTTTTCTTCCATCTCTCTTTTTTCATTTTCAGACACAGCACACCTTTACGCTGTAACATACAGAAATGCCACTAAGCATTTAAATAACCTTAACCGAATTCCCTGGATTTGGGGTGTTTATTCTGGGGACGTTTGCAACACGCTGGCAACGTGTGTGTTTGCTCCTGCCCTGACTTACTGATAAGTCCTCTCAGCCCTCACCTGATTTCTGTTTTGAGGAACAAACAGGCAGCTTAATATTTCTGAGAGGAGGCAGCAGCTGCTGATGACTCCTAAGAGGGGGGGAGTTGATGGGGAGGCAGCCTGCAGCCCTGGGGAGGTCACTCCGGGGCAATAAAAAGATCTGAGAAGAAAAATGCAGCCCAGGCCTGCTGGGAGCTGGTTTCTGGTTCCCTGCGTTTGCTTCTGGGGTTACTGGACCACAGTGGCTACTTTAAAGCTGAGAAGGCTACGAGTGGGACCCGGTGAGGATGGGGGGCACAATCTGGAGTGTGTCCCCCCCCCTGCTTGGGGCTGCCTGCCAACGAGGTGCCACTGACAACCTGGCACCAGGCAGCCTCAGGCAGGAGGATCTGGGTGGGATTTAAGTTGCTCAGAGGCACCAATGCCATCATGAAGAAGCAGCCCTGGCTTTGTTTCCATTAGGCAAATTCACTGATAAAATTCAGTGGCTCGTAAAAATGCTGCTGTGAGGGTTAGATGCGGGGTAGGATAGATACTGCTCCCTTCACATGGCGGGTTCTCAGGAGCCAGGGCTACATGAGATGGGGTTTTTCCTATAAAGTTTTGCGAAATAGGGGAAATGTTTTGACTTACTTTAAAACAACAGAGAGGATGAGAAAAATTAGTGTTGAATTTTATTAGCAGAATTTTATTTGAAATTAAAAAAAAAAAAAAAATCCTCAAATTCCTCTGATTCGATCCAGTCCAACCAATGTTAAGTGAGGCTTCAGTGGGCTTGGAGACAGGTCCAGGGAAAAGAATTTTCCTCTCAAGCAGAAGCAAATGAGATTTTAATTTCAACTTAACTGCACAAGTATTGACAAGAAGCATTAAAATGCCCAAAAATCATTTAGTAAAGCCAGCTTACTTCGTGTCTGGCACCAGCAGTGTTTAAAACAAGATATCAAATACCCTCCCAAGAGGCACAAGAGAGCTGCTCATGATGTCCTACTAAAAACCGAAGCTTAAGGGGGAGATGAACAAACATCTCTCCTCAGAACCAAAATCTGAGAAGATATGAGCAAGAGGAGAACCAGGCTTTGTTGCTAGAAACCATTCCAACAGGGAGAGATAAACGGGGGAGACATGAAAAAGAAATGCTTTCCACTAGAAAGAATTTCCAGTTACAGGGAGAAGGGAAACCTCCTCCTCTCATTCCTCCCTTTTCTCTGTTAATGTCTTATCTAGTCCTTCAAAATTGTGCAAACAAGGTAAATTCCTGAGCTGGTTTCTCACCACACTCCCCATTCTGCATGAAGCTCTATTTTTTTTTTTTATTTTATTTTTTATTTTTATTTTTTTTTGCTAACTGGAACTACTCAGCAACAAACCCCTCTACTCTGATGTCCCAATCCCTAGAGAAGCAGGCAAACCTTTCAGCCAAGAGGGTAGCTCTCGGCGGCACGGGAGAGGCAGAACCCCGGGCAAGAAGGGGGCTGCAGCATTAACCCGGGCAAGGACAGTGCCCTGCCCACGTCTTTCCTGTGCACAGCCCCTAGTCGGGTGGCAGACCATGGGGAGGAGGAGGAAAGACTCTTTTTTATGCTTCAATCCATCACTATGGTGGAACAAGTCTCAGCGGCCATGAGCAATATCCCACCTTGTTCCTGCCCTCAGTTGTGAAAACCAAGCGTCTGTGTCCTCAGGGACAAATTTCCAGAACCTTTGACACTGGGCAAAGGTTGAAGCTAAGAATGTCTGGGTCTTTAAGCCATCCAGACCTTAACTCCTGTGGCTCTCGGGTAGGTTAAACCTAAGTTAAGCCTTGGTGGCTCTGGGCACATGATGGAACATTGGGGAATAACTGTGAATATTCTTCTAAGGTT